CAGCTGGGATCGTCAGAGGCTTTTCAAAGCATTTTTTTAACCACCTCTTTGGCCGAAAAGGTTGTAGAAAAAATGCTTTGAAAAGCCTCTGACGTTCCCAGCTGAGCCGAGGGATCATCAGGGGCTTTTTTTTTTTACTTTTAAAAGCATTTTTTCAGCTAAAGAGGTTGTAGAAAAAATGCTTTTAAAAGTTTTTTAAAAAAGCCTCTGATGAGGTGGGCGGGGTAAGCGAGCGGCAACCGGGCTGGGGACCTGTTTGGGGGCGTGGCCAGCCTGTTCTCAGAACTACTACAAATTTTTACTACCAGTTCTTGTGAACCGGGAGTAACCCACAACTGCTGTAGTAGGCCATACCCTGTAGATGAAGAATCAAAGGGGAGGAAGAGGTCTTCCCTCAAAGGCATTAGACAAGTTGACTTCAGGAAAAATACTGTTTTGCTCCAGATGAAATAACTGATTATCATCTGTTCCAGAGGTGGGTTTCAGCAGGTCCTGACCAGTTCTGGAGAACCAGTAGAGGAACTTTTGAGTAGTTCAGAGAACTGTAGTAAAAATTCTGACTGGCCCGACTTCCATCTATTCTCTACTTCCCAAGTCCCAGCTGATCAGGAGGAAATGGGGATTTTGCAGTAACCTTCCCTGGATTGGGAAGGGAATGGAGATTTTGCAGTATCCTTCCCCTGGAGTGGGGTGGGAATGGAGATTATACAATATCCTTACCCTGCCATGTCCACTAAGCCACACCCACAGAACCGGTGTAAAAATTTTTGAAACCCACCACTGATCTGTTCAATCATTGCATCTTTCAGACTAGTTTTAATTTAGTTTTAGTTTAGTTTTATTGAATGTCTATACCGCCCTACTCCCGGAGGACTCAGGGCGGTGAACAGCCACGAAATAAAACACATACATATAAAAATTTAAAATCGAATAAAATGAATTAAATAAATTTGGCTGAATTAATACCCATAATTTAAAATACCCATATTTTAAAACACATTAAAATTTAAAATTTGCACTTAAAAGGGAGAAGATTTAGGTGAGGCCAGCTTGATGAAATAAAAGAGTCTTCAGCTCGCGGCGGAAGGTGCGCAGATCCGGGATCCTCCGTATCTCTGGGGGGAGCTCGTTCCAGATCGTCGGTGCCCCCACAGAGAAGGCTCTTCCCCTAGGGGCCGACAGCCAACATTGTTTGGCCGACGGCACCTGGAGAGCCCCTCTCTGTGGGAGCGTACTGGTCGGTGGGAGGCTATTGATGGTAGTAGGCAATAACCAGGTCCTAAGCCATGGAGCGCTTTAAAGGTGGTGACCAGAACCTTGAAGCGCACCCGGAAGACCACCGGGAGCCAGTGCAGCTCGCGCAGGAGAGGTGTTACATGGGAGCTCCACACCGCTCCCATAACCACCCGCGCGGCCGCACTCTGCGCCAGTTGGAGCCTCCGAGTGCACCTCAAGGGGAGCCCCATGTAGAGAGCGTTACAATAGTCCAGACGAGAGGTGACGAGGGCATGAGTGACTGTGCGTAGCGAGTCCCGATTTAGAAAGGGACACAACGGGCGAATCAGGCGAACCTGATGAAAAATCCTCCCAGTCACGGCCATCAAGTGCTCTTCTAAAGACAACCGTGAATCCAGGAGGACGCCGAAGTTACGAGCCCTTTCCATGGGGGCCAATGATTCGCCCCCAATAGCCAGCGATGGCGCCAGCTGACTATATCGGGACGTCGGAAACCACAGCCACTCGGTCTTGGATAGGTTGAGCCTGAGCCCGTTTCTCCCCATCCAGATCCGTACGGCCTCCAGGCACTGGGACATCACTTCAAGGGCATCGTTGGGGTGGTCCGGGGTGGAGATGTACAGCTGGGTGTCGTCAGCGTACTGATGGTACTTCACCCCGAAACCACGGATGATCTCGCCCAGCGGCTTTACATAAATGTTGAACAAAAGGGGCAAGAGAACCGATCCCTGCGGCACCCCACATATAAGGGGCGTCGGGGTCGATCTCTGCCCCCCTGTCAACGCAGACTGTGACCGGTCAGAGAGAAAGGAGGAGAACCATCGTAAAACGGTGCCTCCCATCCCCAACCCTTCCAGCCGGTACAGCATGATACCATGGTCGATGGTATCAAAAGCCGCTGAGAGAAATAACAGGACCAGGACAGAGGAACAACCCCTGTCCCGAGCCCTCCAGACTAGGGGGAATACTGGGGGTATTCTTAAAAAAAAAAAAACTTTCCTCAGCCATCTCCTTAGCAGTTTTCCCACTTGATACTTCTGGCTTTATAAAAAGTTTTGTGCAAAGGTCTGTTGGTGTTGCAATCTGTTGCATTATTTATACCATTTGTAACTGATGGTTTCTTTCTTGAATTGCAATTCTGGAAAGATGGTTGCTGGGCAACTTTAATTGTGAGACTTGATAGACTTCCAGAAGTCACTTCTTGTTTAGTTGGAAGACACAGATGTTTATTTGCAACATGTAAAGGTAGAAGATTCATGATTTGCATTGGAGAAGGATTTGTGTCATTCAAGGTCAGGAAACAGCAATCTGTTTATTCTGTGCAGCACAAAGAGGTGTGCTTTCAGGAATAAATCATAAATTGAGAGCCTCCAATATACAGTAACAGTAACATAGTTGGAAGGGATCTTGGAGGTCATCTAGTCCAACCCTCTGCTTAGCATTGCTTTTATACACTTCTGAAAAACAAAAGCATGTGATTATTTGCAAGCAATAGGCAACAAAGCAACCACATCCCTGACAGAGGATGGCCTTCCTAGAAGGTGGAATATTACAGCCCTCACTCTTCTGTCCCTAACTGATAAGACTTAGATAAGAACTAAGTGTGCAAAACTTTGTAACCCATCTATCTGTGACAAGAAAGAAGAGGTAACTCTAAATCAGCAGCCGATCTGGCAGCGTTCTTTGGTAAGGACAATGACATGATATTTTTACGAATGTGCAGGCAGAAAGAGCCCAAAAAAGGAAAATAAAGAGCAAGGAAAAAAATTAATAAAAACTTGAGGTTTTTTGGCTCTGGACAGTCACACAGTCCTACAGAATGTGATGCAATGGAATCCAGATTCTGTTGTGTGTATGTTAAATCATATAATTTAAATATTATTTTCTTCCCAACACCCATTATGAAAGACACTATCATTGAGACATAGTATTCTGACAGATGTCTTTCTGGTTCCTGGTCTAATTCAGCTGAATCTCCAGATCAACTCACCTTTCTGAATTGAAGCTTTAAATCAAATGGGCTACCTCCAAAACCATTTCAGATTTTTACATGTATGCCCTTCCCCCCCCCCTTTGTTGTTGTTGTGGTAATCTCACCAGGCTCAAGGTTGACTCAGCCTTCCATCCTTTCGAGGTAGGTAAAATGAGGACCTGGATTGTGGGGGCAATAAGCTGTATAAAAAATAACACCGCTTTGGGGGGGGGACAAAAGCCCTACTAAGCAGGTATGTACAAAGTATGAAGGCTATTGCTTAATGCATTGTAAGCCACCCTGAGTCTCCGTAGATGGGCGGCATATAAATCAAACCAATAAACAATAAATAAATAAATAATTGTGGTTATTGTTATCATTATTTAGAAGATTGCCCAATTTCAAAAGTTTTTCTGGGCATCTTACATAAATTAAAGGGAAGAAAAGAAAGCATTAAAAAAAATCACCACCAGAAGACATCCATTTCCAAATCCAATCAATCCCATTTAGAGTTTTGGTTCAGAAAGTCAAAATCAAACTAGACCAGAAATCCTTTAAAATGATTTAAAAAGTGAATCAACTGGTCTTCAACATCTGGATCAAACTGAAAATTCAGTTAGGATTTTACTTGGCTGCCTTCTTCATACAACCCAAATAAACCTGAAAAGATATTTTCTCTCTCTCACACACACCCACCAGTGGTGGGTTCCTCCCGGTGTCACCAAACCGGTTCTCCCCACCCTCCGCCTACCCACCCACCCCCACCCCCGCGTTATTCTTACCTTTTATTTGGCCCCACTCCCAATCTATTGCTGCCTCCTGAGTCCCAGCTGATGGCTAGAGGGAAAAAAACTGTTTAAACTCTTGCCACAGGGCTTCAAAGGGCCGCCCTACAGCTGATCAGTGTTAAAAGAAAACAAATGAGTAGATCAGTGTCTGCAAAAATAAATGGTGGGATTCTACTTCGGTAGAACTGGTTGTTAAGTAGTTAAGCCAGTGGTTCCCAAAGTGGGCGGTATCATGCCTTAGGGGGGCGGTAAGAGGCAAGGGGGGTGGCAGGGGAGCGCTAGAGGCAAAAGGGGGTGACAGGGGGTGCTAAGTGGCAAGGAGGGTGGCCCCCATCCTTTGGCCTGTGCCTCACAGCAGTTACCTCCTTGCAAGCAAACAGCAAGAAAAAACAACTCCTTTCAACTTCAGCATAGGCTAATTAGCAGGTTGATTAGATCTGCCTCCCGACTCTCAGATGATTTGCTCTCAGCTGTTTTGCCCAGGGCTCAGCTGTTTGCTGCAAATGCTGGAGCAGATTTTTGTTTCTCCTTATGCAAATCAAGCTGAAAACGAAATTGAAAATAAAGCAGGGTGTTGGCTGTTACGTTGGAAAATTAGGCAGAGGCAGATTTCTTTTCTTTTTCCTCACCAAAAAGGTAGGTGCAAACAATGGGAAATTTAGGGCAAAAGAGGAGAGTTCAAGATTTTAAAACACAAAAGAAAAAAAGCTCTATTTAACTAGGGAATTGTAATAATTGAGTTACTATTAATTGTATATTGTGTTGAAAGCAGAAATGGTTAAGTTGTGGTTTGGAGGAATCTATGGGGGAAATTATTTGGTTTATTATTATTGGTAAATATAATTAATTGATTGTTAATAGATGGATCTAGCCAAATGACTCACAAGACAAGTATAATTATGAACTTTCCTTTATTTATTTCAGGCCTGAATTAATCCCAGGCCTAATCAGATTATCAGTTACTGACCATCAGTCTTTTCTATTACAGGTACACATCTGAAACTGGGGGATCTCCACGTGGAGCAGCCTTATATACTAGGGGGGAGGAGCCAGAAGGTAAGATGTGTCTATGGGGGTGATGGGGTGTGTACTTAGTTAACCCTTGCAGGACTATGGGGGCATGGAGTTGAGGGAGTTAGACATTTACTCTGACAAAGCCCCCTCTAAATGTCTAACTGGTTGCGGGTACTTGATGTTTACATATATGCATGCCACATACAAAGAACATAAGTTACATATGAACACATATTTTAGACATGAGGTAAGCGTGCTGCTTATGTGGTAAAGGTTTTGTGAGTATATCAGCCGTTTGCTCCTCGGTATCACAATGTACTGCCTTTATAAAGCCAACCTCTGAGAATTGTCTCACATGTTTGCATTTGATACCAATGTGCCTTGATTGTTGGCCTACTGCGTCGGCTTTTGATATCTCTATTGCTGCCTTGTTCTCTTCGTGGATAATTATAGGGTATGTTGGCTCAGTCCAAATATTACTAATTAGGTCATCGAACCATATCAGATTATTTGCGGCTTTGGAAAGGCAGACGAACTCTGCCTCAGTGGTGGAAGTTGCTACCAGTTTCTGCTTCCCTGTGTACCAATGGATGGGGCTTCTGTTAATAAACAGTATATAACCTGAGGTACTTTTTCTACTCTTGATGTCTCCCGCCCAATCGGCGTCAGCATAACAGGTTAGTTTTGGTTTTGTGGATGTTTCTGGCTCGAGACTCAGTTGTGCATTGATGCTGTATTTGAGATACCTGAGCAGCCTCTTGATGGCATCCCAGTGTGTTATGGTAGGTTTGCTAACATGTCTGGATAGCAAATTGACTGCCAGAGTGATGTCAGGTCTGGTCCAATTGGCTATATATAGTAATGATCCTATGGTGGACCTGTATAATTTGTTGTCGTTAAATGGCTCAGATTCATCATACATATTTTTTAGGAATTCTGGTTGCATGGGAGTCTCACAGGTTTTCGCTTCTGACATATTGCATTTGGATAATAGTTCGGTGATTTTTTCTTTTTGAGAAAGTCGGAATCCCCTGTCTGTTTTGATTACATGGACTCCTAGGTATTTATCAATCTTGCCCAGAGACTTTAAGGAGAAGTGGCTTCCTAGCTCGGTGGCGAATTTATCGCATTTGTCTTTATGTTTGCCTATGTATAGAATATCGTCCACGTAGACAAATGAGTCATTTCCCCCTTTCGTAAAAAAACACTTGTCAGCTGAAGTGGCTGTAAATCCCATGGAGTTGAGTGCCATGGCTAAGCAATCGTACCACCTTTTACCCGATTGCTTGAGCCCATACAAGCTTCTATTTAGGAGCCATGTGCTGCTTCCTTCTTTGTTGTACCCTGGTGGCGCCTTTACGTATATCTCCTTGTCCAGCTTGGCATGGAGGTATGCTGTCTGTACATCAAATTGAAATACTTCAAGCCCCAGGATTGTAGCTATTACCAGAGCGCTCTTGACACTCTCAGCTCTGATGGTAGGTGAGTAGGTGTCCGTGTAATCCTCTGGGTACTTCTGAGCAAATCCTTGTGCAACCAGTCTAGCTTTGTATAGCGCTTTGTTATTCTCCAGTGTTTTGATTCTGAACACCCATTTGGTTCCTATTGGTTTCTTGCTTTCAGGTACTTGGGCTGGCAAATACACATGTAGGTCTCTAAGGCCTTTCATTTCTTTATCCATGGCTGATTCTCATTTTTCTCTCTCTTCCTGGGGGAGGCTGAGTATGTCTTCGTAGGAACTAGGGGTGATGTTGTTACAATTTATGTTCATGATGTAGTCCTCCAGTCTTTTTGGGGTTTTATTCCTATTGGCTCTAACGGGCCTGCTTGGAGATGCATCTGTTACGTGCAGGCGCTCGGCTTCCTTTTCCGTTAGGCTGTCTAGCTTCAAGGTGGGGTGTCCTTCTTTCCACTCCTTGGTGCTTATTTCATGAAGTTTGGTTTTGATGTGTTCATCTTCCTTTGTTTTCTTTGTGGATATTTCATCTTCCCTTTGGTTGTGGTCGTGTGTGTCTTTGTTGATGATGGTGTCGTTGGAGTGAATTTGGGACCAGTTTGTATTCTCATGGAAGTCTGCAGATCTGGAAACGATAAATCTGTTATTGCTGTCGATAACAATGCTTTTGTGTATGCTTTTGTGCCCGGCTCATAGCCCATGAACTTTAGTCTCTTTGATATCTTTTCCCCTTTCCTTCTTAGTTGCCTGGGGATGTGGACATCTGCTGGGGCACCGAATATATGTAGGTGGGCTAGGTTAGGTTTTCTCTTATACAGCATTTGGTATGGTGTTTTGTTTATGGAGCTAGACCATAACCTGTTTAGTGTGTAATTGGAGTAATGCAATGCCTCTGACCAAAAAGTCTGTCCCAACCCAGCGTCCTCCAAGACGCACCTCATAATGGTTTGTAGCATTCCGTTCTTTCTCTCTGAGACCCCATTCTGGAATGGTGAAAAAGGTGAAGAGGAGTAATGCGCCATACCCTGCTCCTTCAACCATTTTGTGAATTCCTTTGCCATAAACTCAAACCCTCTGTCTGCCATTATTTGTCTTATTTTTATGTTGTGTTGCAGTTCTATTCTTTTGTGAAACTCCTTAAACCTCTGAAATACTTCGTTTTTGTGTCTGAGAGAGTAGACATACCCATATCTGCTGTAATCATCCACAATAGTCAGGAAGAACCTTTTTTTGTGTCTGATGGATGGTGTCAGTGGCCCTACTAAGTCCATGTGTATTAGTTGGAAGGGGGATTCGGTGGTTCATTCTGACCTCCTTGGCCTTGCCTTAACCTTAATCTTTGACCGTTTACAAATTGAACACTCCAAATAGTTTTCACAGTTTTTTACTTTGAGGCCTTCGGTAAATTCTGGCATTTTCTTTACAACAGGGAAGCTGATGTGTCCCAGCCTTCTGTGGAGGAGGTGGGTACAGTTGTCATGCATTGGTTTCCCCATGGATATAACATTTTTACTAATTGGTTTACAGTCATTTGCCCCTTGTTGCGCCCCCTCTATTCCAGTGTTTCCCCTTTCCTCATTGCCTGTGCTTGCGTTAATGTTTCCCCTTTTACTCATGTTAGACGTGAAGTAGGGCAGGCCCTCCTTATGATTACTTCCCTGATCCTGTTTCCTTGTTTTAGTATGTAGGCTTTCCCCTCCTTGAATACTATCTCACTACCCGTGTCTTGCGTGAGTTTGGTGGTGGCTAGTACGTTATAGGGTATCTCTGGTACATACAGTACCCCCTCTATTTCTCCAATAAGTGGAATGTACACGTTTCCCTTTCCAAGTACCTGAACACTGTTCTGATTGGCTACTTTTAATTTGAAGTCTGTCTCAGTGAGTGAGTTGAATAGTTTTGGATCACTCGTGGTGTGGTTTGTGGCTCCTGAATCTTAGAGCCACATGTCCTTTCTCATCTTTGATTTGGTGTCTGGGTCATTGTGACTAAATCCGTACATGGAGCCTGGATTGCTGTCCCTAGAGCTATCCCTGCGCTTGTGATATCTTCTTGGGTTGGGGGACCACCCACGCCCTCTCTCTCTGAAAGGCTTACGTTCTGGAGACCGCCTCCCCCTGTTATCATTGTATCCCTTATCCCTGTTGTTTCTGGGGCAGTCCCTCTTTAAGTGACCCCTGGATCCACAGGAGAAGCATTCTGGGAGTTCCTGGCCCTATCCTGAAACTCAACCTTTTTTATGGGTCTATGATCCCTTCTGGACAGTTGGCGGTCCCTCCTTAAACTGTCCTCAGCTATTAGCCTGTTGGTTAGTGTGCCCAGTGATATGCTGGAGCTGTCCAGCTGGGTTATGAAATTGTCCCAGCTGCTATCTAAGGAGTTGATGATACTGATCAGACTTTCCTCGGTAACTATCTCCCCTCTCTGCATGAGTTCTGCCCTGGTTGCATTTAATTTCAAAATGTGTTCACTTATGGAAACTCCTGGTCTGAGCTTTGCTGAGTGGAACTCCCTAGATATTCTAGTTGTTGTTGCTCTGCTTTGACTGTAAAACAGACTGTGCAATTTTTGTATGACCTCAAAAACAGTTAAGTTGTCACCAATGGTGGGGTACATAGCAGGGGGAATAGTAGTTAATAGTATATAAAAAGCTTTGTGGTGAATGCAATCAACATCTAATGACCAAGGCCTTTTTGGGGGCTTGTTAACTAGAAAGAGTACATTTTCTTTCATGAATGCAATTTGTAATTGTTGACTCCACTCAATGAGATTGCCTCCATCTATCTGCAATTTTGGTAAATTAATAGTCACTGTCCCTGAATTGTTATAGTAATTACTCACAGAAGGCAGCTGTCCATGGTCCAGGGTATGGTTAAACTCGCAATAAGGCAATGGGATGTTTGATGCTAGTCTATACTGACTTGTCTCTATGTTTCTCATATCTCTTGTTATAGGTGGTGACTGAACATGCGCGAAGCTCATTTCGCACTGGAAGCCATTGTGAGGAGACCTCACTGTGGTGGTCCTCAGGCCTAGGCCTAGGCTGGCTGGTGGGAGGCTGGACTCACCCCTGGTGTGTTCGGAGTCCTCCCTGGATGGCGGACACCATTGCTGGGTGGCTGGATCCCCAGCGAAGAACGGGAAGAGGTGAGGAGGCGAAGTGGTCACAGGTTGGGGACCTCTGAGGCGCGGCGGTAGGGTGGTAGCGGCGGATGTAAGTCGAGGATTTTCGAAGTCCTGGGGAGTGGCGGCGGTGGCGGCGATGGCTGTGGGTCCCGGTCAGCGCTCGCTGGTCTCCGGACGGGGAGGGAAGCCTGGCAGTGGTCGCAGGGTTGTTGGGTAGTTGGTCTTCTTTCTTGCTCCCAGGTGTTGTGTCGTTGGTGCTGCGGGTAGTGAGTTCGAGTCCTGCGGTTGGTTGGTTCCGCAGGTGGTGGTGCCTCTATGCTTGTTTCCGGGGCTCGTTGTTTCCCTGGTCAGCGTTAGGTCGTTTGCCCCATAGCGGTTGGCTGCCCCGATGCCCTTCTGTTCCTCGGGGTTTCTCTTTCAGTTCATGGCTTGCGCGGTAGTTTTAAAAGTGGTGCCAAATGCTGCCGCTAAGGTTTCAATGGCTTTGTCCACTTCGGGCTTGGTGGGCAGGCTCTCGTTGTGTTGGGCCTGCTCTTCGTAGTCGTTCTCGGGGTGTCCCGTGTAGATATCGGGGTTCAGGCTGTTTCCCACCTCGAAGTTTGAATCCTGGCTCCTCATTGGTTGCTGGCCATTCCAAGATGGCCACCGGGAAAGTGGCGCAAAAATGAAGCCGTTTTCGCCCGGTATCTCTGTTGGGGGGATTCTTTCCCTTACCAGGCTGGCGGCTTCGTTGGCTTGCTTCTGGATTTTCATTGCTGCTCCATGGTCCTCCAGGAGGCCTTGGAGTTTCGCGATGAGTTCTTCTTTGCTGGCGGTCGTCTCCATCATTTTTTGTAGGGCATCTCTGAAGTCATCGCCTTCCTCTGGTTCCACTCTTTCGCCGTCGCTGGCTCCTTCTTGAGAGTCTTCGTCGTTGGAGAGTGGGTCCGGATAGGCATCCTGCTCACTCTCGGTTGTTGCAGTCTTAGCTGTGGTGCCTTCGGTTGCCTGCAGCTTTGCCATCATGTTTGTGTATGCTCTTGTGTTTACTCTGTTTTTCTTTTTAGAGTAAACTGCTGATTCTGTCATTGCTCAGAGTCGTGGGCAACCATCCTTTGCTACCATATTGTTAATAGATGGATCTAGCCCAATGACTTACAAGACAAGTATAATTATGAACTTTCCTTTATTTATTTCAGGCCTGAATTAATCCCAGGCCTAATCAGATTATCAGTTACTGACCATCAGTCTTTTCCATTACAGGTACACATCTGGAACTGGGGGATCTCCACGTGGAGCAGCCTTATATACTAGGGAGGAAGAGCCAGAAGGTAAGATGTGTCTATGGGGGTGATGGGGTGTGTACTTAGTTAACCCTTGCAGGACTATGGGGGCATGGAGTTGAGGGAGTTAGACATTTACTCTGACATTGATTTGTAAGAAATTGGATTGCATGGAAATAATTAGAATATTCATGTTCATATTGATTAATATACAAAAAAGATAGTTATATATAATTGATTTATATTAAAATGTTGAATTTGTATTAAACAACTGTAATATTACATAATTAACCAATGTGAGGATGGATATAAAAATAGATGACAATGGGAAGGGGTATAATATAGAATAGAAGGGAAAAATTGAATTTGATAAAGATTAGAGATGAGGATGAAGGGTAATATTGTTTTTTTAAAATAAATAGATAAGGAATAAATATGGCAAAAAGGAAATTTAGAAATTGTAAATTTAATTGAAATGACTAAACACTGTTTAAATTTGTGAACCGGCCAAATACTCTGTTCAAAGAAAATACATTGTATGTTTGTATGTGTGTTTCTAATTATTGCTATTTATTCATATTTGTTCTCTTTTATTCTTTAAAGTTTAACAATTCATTCTTTATTTTAATATCTTTATATTTGTTTGGGGTTGCCTTTCTTCCCTTTCATCTTTTTTATTGTACAGCAATCTTTCTCCTCAAACCTACCACCTCTCTCTTTTCTTTCCTTCTTACTTTCTCTTCCCCCCCTCTTCTTCTCCTCCCTACTTCCTCTTCCTTTCTCCTTCTCCTCCTCTCTTCCTCCCCCTCTTACCCTCACTCCTACTCTAATTTCCCTTCCCTTCCTTCCTCCTTTCTCTTCCTTCCCTCTCTTCTCCTTCCTTCCTTCCTCTCTATTGCTGTATCCTTTTGTGCATATGGATTACTCAGAGGGCTGAAAAAGTTATTTTTGACTGGTCCTCGCACTTTTGAGCAGTCCTCGAATTTACGACTGTCCTCACATTTTATGTTTTTTGCCCTATCTTGTCACCATGGTGAAGAGAAGCAGTTGTGAAATGAGTGACACGGTTGTTAAGAATGCTACAATGGGCATAAATGATGACCAGTCATAAGTGCGAGGACCGGTCAAAAGTGTGAAGACCTGTCAGAAATCACTTTTTTCAGCCCTCTGGGTAGTCCTTTTGTGCATATGGACTACTCAGAGAGCTGAAAAAATTATTTTTGACTGGTCCTCGCACTTTTGACCAGTCCTCAAACTTACCACTGTCCTCACATTTTACGTTTTTTGCCCTATCTTGTCACCATGGTGAAGAGAAGCAGTTGTGAAATGAGTGACACGGTTTGTTAAGAATGCTACAATGGGCATAAATGATGACCAGTCATAAGTGTGAGGATCGGTCAAAAGTGCAAGGACCTGTCAGGAATGACTTTTTTCAGCCCTCTGAGTAGTCCCTATACACATAGCCATGGCCACCCGGTCACATGACCAGCTAGCCACACCCACCCAGTCACATGACCTCCAAGCCACCCCCACAGAACGGGTAGTAAAAATTTTTAGAACCCACCCCTCACACACACACACACACACACACACACACACACACACACACACACACAAATAGAATCCACTGAGCACAATTTTGTGAACTTCACTGGTTTCCAGTCTGATTGCTAGTACAATTTAAAACCTATAAAGCCCTACATGGGGCTTTATAGGTTTGAAGGACTGTCTATGTCCCTCAGTCTGGTCAGACGGGGCCAGCAGGGTTGGCACGTTCCTGGTTCCTTTGATTAAACCATGCCATCTATTGGGACCCAGGAAGTATATCCATTTTCTGTTGCAGCATCAGCCCCTCTGGAATGAGATCCTCCGGAATTCCATAATGCTTCCCACCCTGTTGACATTCCAGAATGCCTTGAAGACCTGATTGTTCTCCCAAGCCTTGGGTTTAGCTGGATGGAGTCCCTTGTTGAATTAGTTTTTGTATACAGCAATGGTATCCCATCTGGTTGGTTTTGCATTGTGTTTGTATGGTTTATTATACTGTGAGTTGCCCAGAAATGCTTTGGAGTCCGGAGTTGCCTAAGTTGAATTAAACCAACAAGTCAACAAAGTGGAAGGAATTAGGTGAATTTGAGAATTGCTTTAATTCCTGCCCCCCACTTGCTTGGGAGCATTGGGGGCCGTCAGCTAAACAATGCCGGCTGGCGGGCCCACAGGGGAGGGCCTTCTCTGTGGCTGCCCCAGCTCTCTGGAACCAGTTACCTCCTGAGGTCTGAACCATCCCCACCCTATTGGCTTTCCGAAAAGCGGTGAAGACCTGGCTCTTCCGGAAGGCCTGGGGCCGTTGATCTCGCTGTTACGATCTGGAGAGATCTGGCCATGAATGGTGTGAATGGGTTTTAATGGTTTTTAATGGTTTAACTTTTAATGTTTTATATATGGTTTTTAAATGCATTATAAGGCACCTTGAGTCTTTGGAGAAAGGCGGTATACAAGTTGAACAAACAAACAAACAAACAAACAAACAAATAAATAAATGTGGGCTGAGAAGGTTGAACCCACATCATCTTCTCCAGGCCCCAAAACAGTTGTTGTGGGCTTTCTATAATTAAGACACAGATATAGCAGAGTGGGAAGGGACCTTATAGGTCAGTGATGGCTAACCTTTTTGCCGTCGCGTGCCAAAAGTGGGGGTCGCGCGTGGGGGGGGTCGCATGTGTGTGCCCACATCCATAATTCAATGCCCCCATGCCTCCGTGCATGCACACACAACCTCCCCCCGCTTTCGGCACGCGACACCAAAAAGGTTAGCGGTGGGCCCAGTAGGCCTGTTTTTCGCCCTCCCCAGGCTCCAGAGGCTTTCTTGGAGCCTGGGGAGGGTGAAAATGGCCTTTCCCGCCTCCCCGGAGGCCGGAAAGGGCCCATTTCCTGACTTCTGGCGAGACTAGAAGGCCCAAAAATCATCTGGTCTGTGCGCAGATGTGCACTAGAGCTCAGCTAAGGCAACGTTCGCGTGCCCACAGATATGGCTCCGTGTGCCACGTGTGCCATAGGTTCGCCATCACGGTTATAGGTCATCTAGTTCAACCCCCCACTAAAGCAGGAGATCCTACACCATTTCTGACAAATGGCAGTCCAATCTTTTTTTGAAAGTCTCAAGTGATGAAGCTCCCACAACTTCTGAAGGCAACTTCTGTTCCATTGGTTGATTGTTCTCATTGTCAGAAAGTTCCTTGTTATTTCTAGGTTGAATCTCTCCTTGGTCAATTTCAATCCATTATTCCTTGTCTGGCCTTCAGGTGCTTTGGAAAACAGCTTGACCCCCTCCTCTCTGTGTCAGCCCCTCAAGTATTGGAAGACAGTTATCATGTCTCGCCTGGTACTTCTCTTCATTAGACTATCCATGCCCAGTTCATGTACCCGTTCTTCAAATGTTTTAGTCTCCAGTCCCCTAATCATCCTGGTTGCTCTCCTCTGCACTTTTTCTAGAGTCTCAACATCTTTTTTAATTGCTGCTCAGTTCAGCTAACAAAAAAAAAAAAAAAGAAGGGAAGAAAGAAAGAAAAGAAAATAGTTTGATGTTTTTTTATTAAACATCAGCAAACATAAAATAGTTTTCTGGAAATAATGAGATAAAAGCAGGCAGAAGCAGGGAGAAGCATGAACAACAGACCAAAACTTTTATCTGTAACTATCAGGATAACGAACTTTACAGAACAGCTGGAAACACGATTGTAGATAATTGGCATGGACAAACAGTCCTAAAGGGAGTGGTTATTTAAATTTTAACTTTTTCAGATATATGATACCAAGGGAAGAAAGATGGAAATTAAGAAACAGGGTGATCCCTCATCTAATCTGCACTTGGTACAAGTCGTTCTCCACTTACGACTGTGATTGAGCCTAGCCTTTATAGTCGTAAGTTGTGACGGTTGTAAAGCAGATTGCCGTATCACCACAGCTGTTTTTCTGATTTTTTTTTCCAATGGTTGTTAAATGAACACTGCAGTCATTAAATGAACCCTTTGTTCATCATGGGCTGGCTTTTGCTGGGAACTGAAAGTAAACACCAGTTTCTGGCAAAAAAACCTGTAGTAAATTGCAATCACTGGCCAACATCTGCCTGTGGGCAGAGATGTAATGTGGGCTGGTGGAGAAACATGCATAATTGCCCGGATTGCCTCATTTTACACCCACTGTCAAGCTTCGAAGCGTATTCATGCTGCTTTCACTTTTGTTGCTTACTCAGCTTGCCAACCAACTATGGGGGGAGGGAAGGGGGAATCAGAATATGAGTTTTAAACATCAAGCAATCAGGCCCTGAGAACCAAGGTCACTGCAGCAGGCGTTAGCCAGACTTTCAAGACATCTTCTCACAACAATAGTGTGACACTTAATTGGACAATGTGCTCTGCACTAATAGAAGGGAGGGAGGATTCTGTAATTATATTGAACTGCGCGGGAATTAGCCAGAGCTGGTTTTGCTTCTGTTCTGTGCCGAAATGATGTACTCAATAAAGGTTTGCATTAAGAGATTGGGTCGTCTCAACAGTGTTTGCTGGGTTGGGTTTGTCAGTCGGAACCTTGACACCCACTGCAGCTTCCAAAGGATCTTCAAGGGCAGCCCCACAGAGAAAGCATTACAGTAATCAATTCATGTTTAAATGTTCTTTCTCAGCCTCAGACCCTCCAGCTTCGTGATCAGTTTCTTTTTCCTCTGATCCGGAGCTGTTCAGATATCCCGTATTAGAATTCCTCTCATCCAGCACACATGGAAGGCTCCAAGTTGAGAACTGAGTTACGAATTAGATGTACTTTATTTATCCATGATATGATTTGTGACTCTGGACAGGATACATCCATAAAAGTCAAGGAATTTCAGCTGGCAGGTTTCAGGAGAAGAGCCTTCTGAGCTGGCTGGGGAATTCTGGGAGATGAAGTCCACTAGGCTTAAAGTTGCCAAGATTGGAAACCCCAGGTTTAAAAGACCGAGTATGCTACGTTAAATGTACAGCAGGAGCTATAGAAACATTGCAGTTGAGTAGCCTGTGTCAACTATTCAGGCTGGATGGAGGAAATAAATATAACTTGCAGCCGATTCATGTGAATAAATGCCCTTCCATTATATCTAAGAAAATAAAATAAAAAAAAAGGAGTTGTGAAAGGTTTGCTCCCCTATTGTGACATATGGGCATTGCTTACTACTCCCAGAAGTAGAATTGTACTTGTTTTATTAAAGTAGGTCATAAAGTGAGATTTGGATATAAGAGTGAAATGATACGGGGTTGGCCTAGATGATCTTTTAAGGGCGCTCGACCTAAATATTGTAAGACAAGTTCTGAGTTCGCAATGTTCAAAATGTCAAACCACAGAGCAGCTCTCTCACCTCTGAGGCAACGTGCAGAGTTAGAAACCACATAAGTCAATATGAAACTAGTATTTCCTGCCGATGTTAGTGCCTCAAATGCAAGGTTTAATCAGCTTTCTGCACAGCAATAAGGAGCCTAGCCAATAGGAATGAACTAACATATTTCCGTATTTTACTAACTAAAGAACACGTGTCTTTATGAGAACGTTGTTCAGATGAGAGATGGTTAACTTTCTGTCTGAACCATTGGCCAAATAAAGCTTCTCTTGAACTCGAAGTCTGACTCCTTTGATTTTCTGCCACATTATCATTCTCAACTACAGGTAGTCCTCAACGTACGACAATTGAGCTCAAAATGTATGTTACTGAGTGAGAAATTTGTTGTGTTTTGCTCCATTTGATGACTTTTCTTGCCACACTTGTCAAGGGAATCACTGCCATTATTACATGAGTAACCCGGTTAAGTGAATCTGGCTTCTCTATTGACTTTGCTTGTCAGGAGGTCACTAAAGGGGATCACATGATTTTTGGGAATGGTCATAAATATGAACCAGTTGCCAAGCATCTTTTGATCACCTGACCATGGGGATGCTGCAATGGTCTCAAGTCTGAAAAATGATCATGTCACTTTTTTCAGTGCCGTTGTTAACTCTGAACGGTCACTAAGGGAACTGTTAAGTCGAGGACTACCTGTACAGGCAAATGTTTAGGCTATAACATTTCATGTTCACAAGGCAACATTCCCAGGAGCAATTTCAGCCTGGATATGTGTTGTGGGACGGTGCTTCAGACTACAGATTTGTCACAACTCTCATTGAGTGGATGGTGTACTTTCCGTTCATGATTTAACACAGGGCCATCCAAAATATTTGTTTGTGCAGAACTGCAAAGGTTTGACACGAACGATAGGTTCAATACAGGTAGGCCTTGAGAATTGCAGGTTGCAAGTAATAATGGCCACACAATGGATGGGTCATGGGGCCATCCCAATTTTGGGTTCTTGTATCAGTCGTAAGTGTGAACATGCTGGGCTGTGAAGCGAACCCATTGTTCTGCTGAAAACGAAGAGCTGGTGTTCTGCAAGACTATCGTAAAATCCGGTCATGTGACTATCAGCCGCTATAAATACAGCCCTGTGGCACTCATGTGACTAACAATGGGAGTGGTGGCAAACGATCATTGGAATGTTGGATCCGAGTTGTAAGTCCCCTTTTTCTCGTAGGTCATAACTTCAGCTGGCCAATACGCATAAGCTGAAGAATACTTGTACAATCCAGAGCACTTGTTAAAGAACAGTGTGTATTTCTAAGCAGAAAAAGTTCAGATTGAAGAATGAAGGCATGAGTTGCTTGGCATCTCCCCTCCAGCAAATGCTTAGAGGTCTTGTGAAATGCAGAATGTGAACAGGTTTTGCAAGCTCTTCCATCCGCTTTCTTTATATATAGATCCTCTTTACTGTTTTAAGTAAATCACAAGGAAATTGATTATGCAAATAATGGTAGTTGGGAGCACTGAATAAGCAGCTCATTGCTGTGAATTTCTTCTGCCTAAACTGAGTGTATGTATAGAGACAGAAAGTATGTATCTTATATAAAGGTGTTCTTAAACAGCAGCGTAGGGCTGAGTTGGGGTTTTCAAATGGAAAATCTATAAATAGTGCTAAGACAAGTAACCAGAATTCATGAGTATCATAAAAATACTACCAGGGTGAGTAAGAATTA